AGTGTTTTCTGTGGATTGGAAGTTAATTTACTCATTTCTGGTCCCAATGATGTTTACATGTTAGCAGTGTTTGGGAAACTATGTTAAAACTGTAGTTTATCAAACAGTTAATGGATTTATTGGAAGACTTTTCTTGTCTTTTGATCATTCAAAGCGCTTTTCCACAACATGCCACATTCACCTACTGTATTCACACACATGTTCATACACTAGTAGCAGAGGCTACCGTACAAGGTGCCTACTGCTACTCAGTTAAACATTGCTACGCAGTTACTCACTGGGAACAATTGGAGTTTAGTATCTTGCCCAAGGAAACTTCAACATGCTAACTGGAGGAGCTCAGGAATGCACCGCCGATAATCCGATTAGTGGACGACCCGCTCTACCTCCTAAGTCATAAACTACTTGCTACCTCACAATTAAAAGTAGTTCAACTACATCTTAACTGCACCTAAAAAATAGCTTGTTAAAGTACAATTTGTTTAAAAAAAAATCTGGAATCTCATATTTTTACTTGGAGCTACAACTAAACTGACACTCCGATTTAGGGACTAGGGCAGGCCAGTCCTCACCTAGGCACCCAGAGGATGTGCTTTAAGGATGGTTTAGGGAGCAGTTGTTGGGGTGGAATAAGGAAAATGCTAAACTTCTAAGAAAATTCATAGTATTCATCGGCAGATGTCTTTAGGATGAAATAGGTGATTAATCAATTGACAACCATGGAGCTGTAGCAACGTGCCATGTTGTATGCCAAAAAATGTCATAAGAATATGTAGTTTGTAATTAACTACAGAGATGACCTGACCCAAAGTAGCTAAGTATTAAAATAACCAACTATGACTAAATTGAACTACATGTAGTTGACTACTCCCCAGCACTACATGTTAGATACATAAAGGAGTAACATGGGGTGTCAGGCTGTATTGGTGTGTGTATCATGTTATGTTTCTCATGAAAGACATTTTGACTTGACAAAGCAGGAAAATACAGGATGAACTTTTCATTAAAAATGGCTCTGGTCCATTTAGCTCTGCCGGTGAGCCCTGGCTAAAATAGCTAAAAGTAAACGTAAATGGAATGCAGACATTATTTTGGTTATGAGTTCCACATGAGCACAGGAAGTCAGTTAGGACTGGGCGATATGGATAAAATCAAATATCAGGATATTTCTACCAAATACCTCAATATCGATATTGCAATTATATTGATGGTTTGAATATTGGTACTTTCACAAAATATTAACACAATAAGATTTTTGATAAATAATTATCATTAATGTGGATATGACTATCATGACTAGCTAGAACAGTCTGATAAGTTTAGAACATTACATCACTTTATCGTAATGCAGCCTTTAAAACCAAGAAAAGACAACACTTAAGATATTACAATATCCAAAATCTAAGACAGTATCTAGTCTCATATAATATTGATATAATATCAGTATATTGCCCAGCCTTAAGTCAAAATGTCTGGTACAAGTCTGTTGTCTCAGTTGTTACTGTCTGAGTTACATTTCAGCCCATCTGTCTCTGTACCCAACGTGTCTGTTGTACTCTGTCTGTCTGTCTTTCTGTCTGTCTGTCCTTTTCTGTGTCACTCCACACTGATTCATAGGGCACACCTCTGGTGCTTTGGTCTTGTCTCACTAGTAAGTACAGAGAATGACAACCCACTTCTCATTAAGCAAGCATGTTCATCTGCAGTGACATGTCTAGCATGTAGCTTTGCAGCTCCACCCAGCTGACGGCTCCCTGTCTGGTCGCTGATTATTCTGTGCTTTTTCTTATGTTTTGAACTTGGAGCAGAGGAGGCAAAGACCGACTCTCCAGCCATACAGAACGGAGGCGAGGAGGAGAAGCAGACGACGGAGGAACTGGAGAAAGGGATGAAGGCGCTCTCAACCAACGACACCTCCTCCACACCTGCTGCTCCGCCACCCAAACCCCAAGGCGGCACCCCAGAGGGCTCACCATCCAAGTCTCCGTCCAAGAAGAAAAAGAAGTTCAAGCCACCGTCGTTCCTGAAAAAGAGCAAGAAGCAGAAGGAGAAAGCGGAGACCTGAAGCGTTCAGACACGCCAGACCTCGGTGAAATACTACTGTGAAACATTTCTTAGTGTACAACGGAGTAGCCGATGAGTTAACCACATCCGATCTTTTCAGTCACAGTCAGTTAAGATGTCGTCCACAGACACAGTGTGATAAATTGACGTACAAATACTTTACTGTAACACTGGTACTCATTGATTTGACCCAAGTGGTGATTCATCTTCAGCAGGTTAAAAAACACTGATAATAACTTTCACATACTATTTGACCCAGGTCGGATACAACCCAACATTTTGACGCTTCTTGTAACACACACACACACACACACACACACACACACACACACAGTCCCTGTATTACTCACGTCTTATTTTCACCTGCTGTGCTATCAAACCATTAACTTAACTTCACTGTATAGACATTCATACACGTTCCTTTCAAAACTGGGGTTACTCGTGTGATCTTGTGCACTTGCCGCTCAGAATTTGTTTCATACCTTTTTCTTTTTTATCCACAACTTTGCAAGACACGGTGGAAATTGAAGTCTCCTTGAATTATGCACCCCTTCTCCATGTATAGGCACTTGTCATATGTATATTGACATTCTAGTACGTTACATTTGTTCATTATCATAGGCATCTTCTAGTCATGATTTGGTTTTAATTATCAGATAGATGTTGCAGGTATACCGCGTGAGCACAGGTACAGTACATGTAGAAATATACTGATAGCTACTGATTGTGCTTCTCTGAATGCAGGTTTAATGTAAAACTATCAGCCTATTGACATTGTTACAGCAGGGAAGAACACGGAAAAAAGAAAGCGGGGGGGAGAATATGCTGGCTCGCAGCGAAACACGAGCTGCTATAAATGCCTCTATAACCCAAAACAGGATAAAGCATAAAGAATTTGTTTCTTGCCAATGCAGTTTGAAACCCAGTAACAGAAGATAATGAAGGTACTAAACATTCCACTTTTTTCATTTTCTTTTCAATGTATGTGTGCAAAATACCTCCTACCAGTTGTAATTATTTTCTGTTTTAACCAGTAGCTGTTATCAAAACGCTGATGTGTGATGTTTGCTCATGGTTTTAATTTATTTTATATTAGAATGTATAAGTGAGTGTTGCAAGGTTACCATGTATCAGTCATTAAAGATGAAGTTTGATTTAAAACCAACTGGACATCTAGTTTATGTCTATCTGTCTCTGCTTTATTAACTTTATGAATCATTGCTAGTAATGTAACAACTAATACACAGCAACAGTGATCTCACAATCTAGACCTGTGGGTGGTGCTAATGCACACTTTTACCAACGTACAATATATTTTTACCATGAATTTATTTTAGTGTAAACACATGCTGTAGAAGATGAACTGATCTCCAAAAGGCATGAAGTTAAAGATGAAACATAATAAACAAGATTAGTGTATTATTTTTATTTTGTACAATTTTAGAGTGAAAAAAAGGAAAAGAGCACCATGCAAAAGTTTGGCCACTCCAAGACATTTGAGCTCTCAGACAACTTTTACCAAGGTCTCAGATCATAATACGCTTGTTAGAGCTATGGCTTGTTCATTATCATTGTTAGGAAAGGCCAGGTGATGCAAATTTTTAAAGCTTCAGAAATATTCTGTCTCCTGAAACCTTGTCCCAACAATCAGCAGTCATGGGCTCCTCTAAACAGCTGCCTAGCACTCTGAAAACTAAAATAATGATGCACACGAAGCAGGAGAAGGCTATAAGAAGATAGCAAAGTGTTTATAGGTAGCTGTATCCTCAGATTGTAATGTAATTAAGAACTGGCAGTTAAAAGAAACCGTGGGGGTCAAGTTGAGGTCTGGAAGACCAAGAAAACTCTCTGAGAGAGCTGCTAGTAGGATTGCGAGAAATGCTAATCAAAACCCCCATTTGACTGCAAAAGACCCGCAGGAAGATTTATCAGACTCTGGAGTGGTGGTGCACTGCTCTACTGTGCAATGACACCTGTACAAATATGACCTTCTTGGAAGAGAAATCAGCAGAAAACCTTTCCTGTGACCTCACCACAAAATTTAGTGTGAGAGGTTTGCAAAGGAACAGCTAAACAAGCCTGATGATTTTTAAAAACAAGTCCTGTAGACTGATGAAGTTAAAATAGAGCTTTTAGAATGCAATAAGGAAAGCTATGTTTGGATGAAAAAGGATGCAGAAAGAAAAGCAAACCTGTCTAACTGTTAAACACAGGGGTGGATCATCATGCTTTGGGCTTGAGTTGCAGCCAGTGGCACGGGGAACATTTCACAGGTAGAGGGAAGAATGGATTCAGTTAAATTCCAGCAAATTCTGGAAGCAAACATCACACCATCTGTAAAAAAAAAAAGCTGAAGATGAAGAGAGGATGGCTTCTACAACGGTACTACCTCAAGAGGAGCAAGCTGAAGGTTTTGCCATGGTCCTCACAGTCCCCCGACCTAAACATCATTAAAAGTCTGAATAAACCTCAAAAGAGCAGTGCATGAAGACGGCCCAAGAATCTCACAGAACTAGAAGCCTTTTGCAGGAAGAATGGGTGAAAATCCCCCAAACAAGAGTTGAAAGACTCTTAGCTGGCTACGAAAAGTGTTTAGAAGCTGTGATACTTGCCAAAGGGGGCTCTACTAAATACTGACAATACAGGGTGCCCACACTTTTGCTGCAGGCCCTTTTCCTTTTTTGTTATTTTGAAACTGTAAAAGATTGTAATCACAAACTAATCCTGCTTGAAATACAGAAGAAACGTGTTGTCTTTAACTTCATACCTTTTGAAATCAGTTCATCTTCTTCTTACTTAACTACTCACAGTAAACGATGTTTATGTTTACCTTGTTAAAATACATAGCCTACATTACATACACTCTGTGTAAGACAGATGACAGTTTCTCCTCCGGGTCCATAGAGGGCGGTCTTCTGTAGAGAGGTTACCGGAAGCTCACATATCAACCATAAAAGACAACAGAAGAACCTGCGTTGAAGTGGTACCGATTAACATTAATTCGAACAAACACCCCATAGTTTGTTACTGTTTCTTACAGCAAATTATTTTCTATTTGGTGCTACATTGATCTACGAGAGTAAAATTTGATCTGATAGGGAAATGGGCAGAAGCAGGAGTCGAAGTCCTCCAAGACGAGGTAAGAAACTAGAAGTATCGTTAGCTTAGCTAATGTCAACACTGCGTGTGGTTAACGTTAGCTGGTCGTTGTATCTACGGTAACGCTGTTTTCGCTTTTACACAAAAAAATAAATAAGTATAAGAAGATGTTATTAGCCTTATTTTATTCCCCAACAATATGACTCAATAATCTTCGGCCTGTATGGCACCCAATATTTACTACATAATGAAGCTAACGTTAATTTACGTGACGTTAGCTTAAGTTACTTAGTTACTCAACATGAGCGTAGTTATTGCTGTTAAAAAAGCAGTGGGACATTGGACAGGTTTGTATCACAGTGACTAGGTTTTGGAGGTTTCTGAGTGTGTGGAAGCTAACAGAACTTTCTAGATGTACTCACAGTTCAGTGTAGGTTTGACACGTTTTAACTATCAGGGATATTTAGATTACTTTGCCCTTGGTGTTCTTAACTATTTTTGAGTTAAAGCGTTAAACATAAATCTCTGAATATTAGTGTCAAATTAGCAGAATAGTTGAAGCTTGAGGATCTTAACCTGTTTGGCCCCTGCAGTTGTATCAAAACACTTTATATACTAATTGTGGTAATCTACCGCATATAAGTTATAATAGAAATAATATAATTATGTATAATATCATTTGACCACGGGTAAAACGTCAGATATTGTCACCTGTTCCAATAAATCATTGTTTGCCATTTGAGTCAGTGACTTGTGATTGACATCATCCTGTCTTGGGGTTGTCTGACATCAAAGACTGATGGTGATAATTTAGGGTTAAAGCTGAGTAAGAGTTGAGCATCTACATATTTTTAAAAATACAATTAAAGCAGCAATCAGCAAGAACAGCAACATTCATGTCACAGCTTCCCCAACCACACACGTATCACGTAATATTGGCTGAACTGCACCTCGTGAAGCAGGGATTGTGTTTCAAACCAAATCAAAGGGATTTTTGAAGGCACATTGTTTGAGATAAGAGCCTTATCTTTCATGAAGAACAACAACTGTATGCTAATGTGTTGCATACTTAGCAGACCAAGTTCTGTCTGAAGTAATCATGAGCTAGGTTTAAGATTGAAGTAAAAGTGCCTTGACAGTGCTGTAGTATCTTATATTATCAAGAGTCAGTGTATACCTTAACAGTTTCAGCATGTGTCTTCTCTATCCATATTCTGATGTCAGTCACTGGGCAATAATTCAGCTGTGGCACACAATTGAATTCTGCTTTTGTAAAATAAAATTGCCATACGCAGAGCACTAAAACTGGACTTGTATAGTTCCAGTGACATTTATACTTGTATCTGTTATAGCATGTTTAAAACATGTTGCACAGAAGTGCAATAAAGTAGAGAAGAGCATCTCTTAAATTGATGTAGAGAAGAATGTCAGTGTGTGGATGCCAATAAGTCCTGTTAAAGTTCCCCAGTTTACTGCTAATGTAATCTTGTTTTCTTCCTTTCCTGCAGAGAGAAGGCGTTCCCGGTCGACTTCACGGGAGCGTGAGCGAAGGCGAAGGGAAAGGGATCGCTCTCGTTCTCGAGACCGGGATAGAGAGCGTCGGAGAAGTCGCTCTCGATCTCCTCACAGGAGACGCTCAAGGTAAAGATGCACTTTTTGCCATTTTGTAACACTGAATAGTATTTTGTATATCCAGATTTTGGCTGCTACAAAAATGTAAGATAGAATATTACATTTTAGACTTATTGTCACTTAATATCAGTTTAGTGTTTTGTCATAGAAAAGCATAGTCTTTCTGATTGTTTGGAGCGCATTGATGGTACTCTTTGCCCTTTAAAAATGAGCACATTCATCTGCAAGCATAGTAGACTTACACAGACCATGAACAATATTAATCACTTCAAGTTGCAAAAGTACCTGACCTCTGTAGTCATGGTAACCTGTCCTGCAGCCATTTGATAGCCAATTGTGTTGCCTCTGCAGGTCTCCTCCCAGACGTCACCGCTCCTCTTCACCCTCTGACCGACGTGATGATGAGCGCAAAGACGCTAAGTCAACAAAACCCATTCAGATCTCAGGTATTAGATTAATAATATACTTCATATAAGAGCATATTCAGCTTATTAAATGTTTATGTTTTACCAAGAGCAATGTTGTTTTGTTGAAATTCAAAACTATAACTTTTTTTGACAGCGGAAGACATGCAGGGCAAAACAGAAGAGGAGATTGAGATGATGAAATTGATGGGATTTGGTTCCTTTGATTCCAGCAAGGTGAGAGGCCAAGGGTGTCGTATGATGTTCAGCCACAAGGGGGTGCAAGTTTTTTCAAATTAAGTTCATTACATTCCACAGCTGAACTGAGGTTAGACATACTGTGTGTTTGATTTTATTTTGTGGGCCTGCTCGATGTAACATTTATTGCTGTTGTGCTTTGAATTTCCACTAACACATGTTGAGCGCCAACACTATTAGAGTAGCCACAACTATTGTCTCACTTACATTTCCCCTCACTGTGCTTTTTTTTGGCATTATGAAGGTCATGCCTCTATTGCAGTTATTCATCGCCTATTGACAAAAAAGTGCTGAAAGCTGAACAAACCTGTAGTTAGAATAATGTTTTTTTAGACAACAAACTAGCCAGGCATGATATTGAAGGCAGTGCTGAGTTAGACACCGAGATGTAACTCCTTTTGTTGACAGAAACATTGGACTTAATTTCTTGTTACTCTTTTCAATGGATCAAAACACCTCGGCAATATGAAATGCAATTTTGATATTTAGAATGCTGTGTTCAGTTATATCTGTTAAATACAATTTCAAACACTGCCATCATGGTTTTGTTACTGACAGTATAATAATAATATATTCAGCCCTATTTTAGTGGAGCTATTTATTGTTGTAGTTCAGAATTGTTTTGTTTTGCAAAAGCCTATCTTCAAAATTATCCTATTAAAGAATCAGTGGAAAGCAGGCAGAGATGATGACATTTTGTTAATTAGTAAAATGTCACTGTTTAACTTGAACTGCAGTATGTGATGTTTTGTGTATGAGAGGCAGTAACATTGTTTTCAAACAGGGGAGGAAAACCGATGGATCCGTCAATGCATATGCTGTCAATGTGACCATGAAGAGGAAATACAGGTATGTCAACAACAGCAAATAGTTTCTAATTGCATAGAGCTGTTAGTTGGTCGTGCAGTACGCAGCAGTGTTGCCCACAGCCACACACAATTTTTGGAATTGTTTCATAAGACTTTATTATGTAGTGATGGTTTCGAAGTTTTTGTTTAATAATCCTCAGTTGCTGGTCAGGTTGCAGAGTTTAAGTGTCAACTTTCAGTCCCCTCACAGTGAGCGCTTTCAGCATCAACCACTGTTATTGTAGCCAATCACCTCTGCAGGTGTTTCTATGCAGAGATCCCGGCTCTCCCATTGGTGCTCGATGATGTAATCTGCAAGTGTTGCGAGGGTAACAGTGATGTAATGTTTTCTTATATATTTATTTTTTTAGGCAGTACATGAACAGAAAAGGTGGATTCAACAGACCACTGGACTTCATCGCCTGAAAGTATCACAAACTGATTGTGATGCCTGAGAAGCTTACCTCCATTCTCCCCTCACAGCTGTGGATAATGTTATGCCATTTCTTGTTATTTCAAACCTGTTTTGTTAGGCAACAGTTCTGTATATATTTTTTTTTAGAAGTGGGTCTTATCAGTGCTCAGCTGTGGCTGAAAATTGATAGGAGTTTGCTGAGTTTTGTTGAATTGTGTGGCATTTTATTTGAAATAAAAGCATTTTAAAAATGAGTGGCTGTAGTCCAGATCATGGAGACAAGAAAGCCAATTTTGCCTCTTGCATCTGCTATGATATGCAGGAACATTTTCTGTTATGTAATTGTCAATAACTTAACACCGACATTTACCATTTGTGAGTTGATGAATGTGTTTGTAGTATTAGAGAGTCTTCATTCACATTCAGATTACTGACACGGGTATGTATTCTTGTGCAGCTTGCTTTCATGTTTTTCTGACAGATGCTACCAAATATAATGTAATTTGGTGTTCCCTGTGCGCGTGCTGTAGGTTGGTTTCTCAATCAGTGATCAAATTTAGTCCTGGACGAAGGACGTTATCCAGCAGCTAAAACAATAACACGCTGTCCTTAGTGGAGGTCCTGCATTTTTCCTGCTTTAAAATGGGCATCCGTCACATTTTGAAGCAGGCTTTTACTGATATGTTTCGGAAACCGTTGAGCCTTGCGCCTGCGCGGATATATGCTTTATGATTGGACGAGCCAGAGGCCAATACTAAGAAAACATGTGAATCTGACCAATCACCGACCACGAAATAAGACAAACAACACCACGGGAGCCAATCCCCGCCATACACCGCGAAGCAGCATGGCAGAGAGGCGTGTCTTCTGTCAGAAGCGGGCGTTGTCACTTTAGCTCGTGGGCATTGCGGCCAATGGTTAACAAGTTTTTTACCAAGCAACCAATCATAGCACACGGGTGTGTAGTGGTGAAACTGGGTCCATTTTGCCTCCGCGCAGTGCTTTAACCAATGTGAATTAGAACCAAAATGGCTGAACCAGCGCCACAGTGGCAGCCGTTGACAACCCCTCTCGGTGCATTGACGACGTAAATGCCCAATAGGAGCTCGAGTTGTCATGTCCAGTACCCAATCACATCGCAGCACACAGAAGCTTTGTGGTGAAGTACAGTAGTTAGCTGTCGTCCAGATCAACAAGCCACTATTTTGGAAGCAGTTTGATAAACACTCACTGTTCCTCAGTTGATGTCAGTCGCTATCTGCGTTTCCAGCGAGACGTATCACGCGTGATCAGCGAAAAACCAGCACAAAACTAGCCAGCCACATAGCCCCGAGCCGATAAGGTTGGATGACATCGTCGGTTGAACTTTATGACAACTAGCTTGTTTTTCCTTGTCCATTTCACACCAGGCAAGTCTGTGACAACTGAGCAAGCCAACGTCTTTTTTTTGATTGGCTGAATTTTACAATATACAACCGAGCAAGCAACAACTTCATTGTAAATTTGGCAACTTGTCACGAGCGCTAGCGTTAGCCAACTTGGTTTTTTTTTTGCCAAACAACAACACTCGGCTATTTTTTTAATGTCAAGCAACACTTCGTTTTATTTTTGCTTTTTTTCTCTCGAAGAACTACATAGAAAAGCAACGACATTCAGCAGTTTGCTTAATAAAGAGGGCAAAGCAACCTTAGCTTTTGAAGTGTGTTAGCGTCAAGCCTCGAACAGCCAGCTAACACCAAACCCTCAACGTTACCTGAAACATTTTAACAATCACTAAGCAAGAGGCTCGTGCGGCTTTTTAACTGACTGGTGCTGCATTAAGGACCTTTAACTTTTAAACAGCCCGTCTGACACACTGCAGGAGAAACTCTGTAGCTTTACCTCTCGCTTTTTTTTTAAGAACAGCTGACAGAACAACACGCCACCTGAGTGTTAGCAGGAGACCAGTGGTAGGAGCTGGGGCAGGTTGTGTACAACCACGGATTCCCTCATCGGATTGTTATATTAACAGTGTTATTGTTGAAAATGGCGGCGATCGGAATGGTGCAGATGTTGATCGAAGCAGCCGAGTACCTTGAGCGCAGGGAACGAGGTAAAGTGTATTGTTTTCTACGGTCTGCTTTATTCATGACAAAATACATGACACCCCTCCCCCCTAAATCACGCTAATTCATGCACCTGTCATTTAAAGGCTGTTTTAAATCTTGTTGCTGCCCTTTATTTTTTTTACATAAAGTAAACGGGGCATGCATTGAATACAGTAACGTTGTCGGATACAACAATACAGCAGAATGCATCGCCTACACAAAATCATCAATATTTTTATTCATACATTTTTTGATGTTCTGCGAATGTGCATAAACACACGTGCATCTGCCTCTCTGGTAAAGAATGAATGCATATGTGGCAGATGCAGTCAGATGTGCAGGGAGACATTGTTTTCATGGAGGCCCCTCCTTTCCCTCTGTTGTGGTTTGCTAGTGGGGTTTATTTCAGTTCAAGATGACATCATTGTCCAGGCTGAGGGGAGAAAATACTGTATAAAGACACTGCAGAAAATCCATCCATTGCATGCCTGCACCTCAGCAGGAGACATTGCTACTAAATACCATAAGGCTCAAGATCAAATGTGGCAGATTTTGCAGTCTTTCTATTTTTGGTTTGGCTTCTCTTCAATGTGGCTGTATCTTACATTGCCAGATATCTGGACATGTGACCACTATGTTGTTTATTTGCTTGCAGAAGCCGAACATGGGTATGCCTCCATGCCACCCTTCATCAGCAGCCGAGAGAGGGAGAGCTTGAAAAGGAAAAGCAAAAACAAGAAAAATACGAGTAGCAGGTAAAGGCATATCAGCGCCCTATGCCATTATTCAGCTCTGCAACAAGGCACTTACAGTTCCCCCTCTTCAAGTGTGTCCCCACTGAGTGCAGCAGGGTTAATCCATGTTTGCTGGATTGGGTTTTGTTTTTTACAAATCACACTTCTGCATTTGCCGTCTGTGGTGAAAGCATCATACATCAGCACAGTCAACCACATTTTATTGTTTCATTTTTTTGATGCTGCAATTAGCAATATATCAAACCAGAGTAATATGAGCTTCAGCTCACTACCACTGCCAATTTGTCCCCGACGCTACTGAAAAGGTCCTCTGATATTAGAAGCAGGGGCTGCATGTGTATGTGCAAGTCTGTTGGGTTAAGGCCCTGTTTTGACTTCCCCTTGTCTTCCTCAAAGCGTGTGACTGACAGCAGCAAACATCAGTCTGGCTTAAATCGAATGGCCACTGTGTAAGGCAAACTGGGTCAGTCAAGGTGACTGCAGAAGACATTTCAGTGAGGGCGCATGTCCTGTCAGCTCCAGTCAATGGACACTACTGCACACACATAGAATTCTAGAGATCAATCATATTGGGACAGATTTATGTTGCATCCACACCCCACATATCGACGTGCGCTCCGTGATTAGATTGCAGTTTGGATTTCATGCACTTGTGACATTTTGTTTGTGATACTTGTTTGAATGTAAAGCTCCTAAATGTATTGATATTTCCGTGGAGAGGATGAAAAAGCTCCATGATGTACGGCAGAACTGACAGAACCATATTCTATATGACTTGAAAGATTTGTTTATATCAACCTGTATTTATGCACATATGCACATTAGATGCAGTGAATGGAAACACAAGGGGGGAAAACAGCTAATTAGTGCAAAAACAAATAGTTTTTTGCTTGGCTGAGGTAAAAAAAAAGTTGCCCTGTCAATATAGAGATGTAACAAAGTCTGATTATAATAGATTTTTCAGATAAATGGTAACACTGGGGGACCTGCTTCTCCAGTAGATGCAATGCTGGCATATTGCTGCCACCCACCCGTAGCATGCCTCCTTTTCATCAGAGGCTGGTGAGTAGAGAGAGGCAATTGATTGATTTATATACGTTAAATGCCATGATGTACCAGAGTTACGGAAGGGAGGAGTGGCAGGTCACATGATGCAAGTTAACCTGTTTGGCTGGACTCTAGACTTGAGCTGAACTCACATCAGGTATGCTAGCCATGAAGGGAAACTCATCCAGCTTCCGTTACTATCTATTAACATCTATTAAGATGACACTTTCATCCAAAATCACGTACAGAAATTGCATTCAAAAATGTGGGTACAACCCAAAATGTGCAAGAATCATGCAAGTACATCAGCTCAGTCAAATATGCCGATCTACGTCAAGTGCAACAGCTTGAAGCACCCACTGGAAACAAATGCAGAGCACATGAGGTGAAGCATGTGAATAGGTTTATATATAGGCCCCTTACCTTGTGTGATCCAATGTATATCCAGCTTTGATAGCTGCAAACATGTTTGCAGTTTTCTCTGGCAGGCATGGAGAGGTGAGGAAGAATGTAAACTTTTCTCGCAATCTGTCATTTTTGATTCTTGGCACAACTGCTTCCATCACTATATGTCCAAAAAAGGGCAACACCAATAGATATACGAGGAGAGACTGCCTGAACATGTGCGCTCTTATCCCCATTTGAACCACTATCATGTCCTGTCACGTTCTGTGATGGAAGACCTTTAGATGTTGTTGTATAAACTTATTTGTATGAAGAATGCCTCCACCTAAAGTGTCCTTTGGATGGGTAAACACCGTGTTCAGTATCCAATGTACAGAGCACATGATGTGCAGTATGCAAATATGTTTATGTATAGGCTCGTTACCGCTCATAACCCAATGTACTATATCAAGCTGTAGCCTTTTATCTGCAGATCTAAAGTTACGAGGCTGCTATACAAAAAGGTCAGAGTATTCCCTACAATCATACTGGTTAATTAATTAGTTAGTTTTTCAAATTAAAGGGAAGGTTCATCTCAAAATCTAATCTACATCTGTTAAGTAAAAATCAAAAAGTTCCTGCATGAAACTCACAACCTCACAACAAAGTCTGTGGATTATCTTGAGGAACTGGTTTATGATTTCTGGAAGGAGAGATTGCTATTAAGACGTTCAAATGTATTCTTTCAGCACTTTGAGCACCACAAGCTAAGAACTATCTAGTTCCATTATATTGGAGAGAAGGCAGACATCTCTACAGCGGATATCTCCAACACTTGGCAGCTCACACCAAAACAATCTAGACTAATAAATAGCACTACAGGTAAGAGGTAAAATATAAGTTTTGATTCTGGGGTGAACTGTCCCTTGAAGTGTTAAGTCTATACAATTTTTAAGAACATAGGGAACACATTTCTACCCT